AAAAAAAAAAAAACAGTGACTCTCAATCCTTAGTCTACATGAAAATCAAATGAGACTAAAGTCCAAGGATAATTTAATTGGTTTGGGGTGAATGTAGTATATTTCCAAAAGCCTCACAGTTGACGCTAATGTTCAATAAGGATTAATAATGGCTGCATTATAATAAACATGTTCTTTATTTCCAGTACTAATGCAGTTATTATGAAATTCATATAAATTAGCAATTCTTCAAATGAAATCAAATAATAGTACCATACTATCTAATATACATCTATTTTTAAGGTATATGAATTAAGAATGTACTTCTCAACCAACATATACGATCACTGCAACATTTTTCATTTTTTTCTCATGACTGACTATGTCTTAAGTACTTATGCCAATATCCTATTCATCTTTCAAATCTACAAAAGCAAGTTGAAGTTTAGTGTGTCTATTTTTCTTACTAGTAGGTCCTAGTGCTATATCAGGGCAGCACATCATAAATGCCCATCATAATTATTATATTAAGTTTATTTATTTTAAAAGCCACTATCTGCTCAAAATTTATATTTTTATTTCAGAAAGTAGCAAGAAATTCTATTTATCAAAGATTCACTTGCATGCTTTTTGGTGTTCTTTTACTCCCTTTGTTTCTCACTTAACTGATTAAACAATATTATGTGCTACCTCTGTTCACTTTAATTAGCCTTGCTTTTAATGCAAGGAAAGAAATGGAACCCTACATTAATAATATTAGATAATATATGTAATAAAACTCTCCTGGTGTTAAGGGGTGTTAAATATTCAGTTATATTACTTTCTTCCCCTTTCCCTTCAATAGATTCAAATTTTCTCATGGTTGAAAATATTTGGTGAAAATCTGAGCAAGAATGTCCCTTTAAAAAGGTTTATTCAGGTGTATCTGGCTCTTGACAAAATAGATGAATTTTTTTTTTCTGTGTTGAGTTAAAGGATCCCATTGAGCCCACAGATTCTATTCTTGATTATTCAATCACCTGGGAAAAGTCATTTAAATGCTATCTTGGTCATGCTAGAAAGAGTTGATATTAGATTCTTTTTGTTTAATTCAAAATGAAGGTGATAGATAAGAGCTGATTCTAAAGTAGCCATAAGGGCTACATGATGTATAGTAAATAAAACAATGATTAAAATGCCTGGCAAAAGTATCTTTGACTTAGTGAAATGTATTATTACAGGAACTTACTGAAGGGGACAGCCATTTCATTCAGATCACCATGCTGTCTATTCTTAACTCAACTCCCACAACTTTCTTCTTGACTGGAGTTCCAGGGCTGGAAGCTTTTCACATCTGTTTTTCCATCCCTTTTTGCTGCCTCTGTGTGATGGCCCTCTTGGGGAATGGCACTATCCTCTATGTGGTGGTGACAGACTCCAGTCTCCATGAGCCCATGTACTATTTCCTCGCCATGCTTTCTGCTACTGACATGGGCATCACTCTTTCTTCTCTTCCCACAACACTGGGTGTCCTCTGGTTCAATGCCAGGATCATCAGCCTAGGTGGATGTATTGTGCAGATGTTCTTCCTGCATGGATTCACACTCATGGAGTCCTCTGTGCTTTTGATCATGGCTTTTGACCGCTTTGTTGCGATCTGCAATCCCCTGAGGTATGCTGTGATTTTAACTAACTCTAGAATCATCAAAGTCAGGGTGGTGATATCCATACGAATGCTGGTCAACCTGATGCCCTTGCTCCTGCTCCTTAAAAGACTGTCTTTCTGTGGTCCTAATGTGCTTTCCCACTCCTACTGCTACCACCCCGATGTGATTAAGTGTTCTTGCTCAAGTATCAAGGTCAACAGCATCTGTGGCTTAGTTGCTCTCATGCTAACATCAGGAATAGATATCCCCTGCATTTTCCTCTCCTATGTGCTGATCATCAGGTCCATCCTCACCATTGCCTCCCCAGAAGAGAGGCAAAAGGCCTTTGGCACCTGTGTCTGTCACCTTGGTGCTGTTGCAGTCTTCTACATCCCCTGGATCATCCTGGCTTTGGTACATCGCTTTGGTCATAATGCTCCTCCATATGTCCACACACTGATGTCAACTCTCCATTTCCTCTTTCCCCCAGTGCTGAACCCCATCATATACAGTGTGAAGACCAAACAAATCCGTAAGGCTTTCATCAAGATATTTCCAAACACAAAGTAGATTGTCTGACCAAGAAATGGTCTGGATAGAAAGGCTTGCTTTCTTCCTCTCTTTTCCCTTCCTTCAACATTTTAGGGATGATAGCACAAGAGCACATAGGAAACATCCCTGTCCTCTCAAATAGCTTACATAGTCTTGTGACAAGGACATAAAATTAAATGATAACTATAATAAATGAGAAGTATTACAGAGTTATATCCAAGAGACTACACAGACACTGATGTAAACACAAAAAAATTTAGAAGAGGTGATTACTTGGACCAAGAATAATGCACAACAAATCAAGATATAAAGGGCATCAGATCAAGAGCACAAAATTGTGAAGTTAATGAAGTATAATACATCCTTGGTATAGAGGTATTGTGTGAGACAGGGGTGGAGGAAGAGAACTTTATATGAGATTATAAAAGAATCTCAGTACTCAGCAAAGTCAGAGTTATGGAAGTTTCTTAAAAATGAGAATGGTCAATTGGAATTTGGAAGCATTACTAGATTCTCTTTTAAGTAAAATCAAGTGTAATTGTACATTGAAGCAAAACATTTTTCTTTTATTCTTCTGATTTTAATCAATATTTGAAGTATATATTGTCTATAATGTTCCTTTACTCCTTAATGTCATGCAAAATTTTTTTCATTTCTTTTGCTTTATACATAGGAATTCTATAGTTCTTGTATTGTGATGTACTGCTCCTGACATGAAACAGGATTTTAAAATCTCTAGAACAGGGGCCAGGGATTTAGCTCAGTGGTTTTGCCGCCTGCTGCACAAGCGCAAGGACCAGAGTTCCATCCCAGGTACCATAAATAAATAAATAAATAAATAAAATCTCTAGTACAAGCTCAGTTCCTTAACCCCTTCAGGAAATATAGTAATCCTCTAAGAACACAGTACTCTTAAGAACTCAAAAAAGAAGAAAGTTCTGGTAATAAAATTTACCAACTTCCTGTATCTCCTACAATATCCAGTGTCAAACATCGTACCTTCCTCTTTCTACTCTTGTCAGAAATCTTCTGACATAAGGAACAGTAAGGCCAAGAGAGGGAGGAACAAAATTGGAACAGTATGAAATACTTCCCTGAAGAAAAAATACCTTTGTGCTTTATATATTATAGAAAAATTTTCCCTTACAGCAATGTGTAGCTCATGGACTCTAGGAGCATAAGAGCATTTCTGAACTTACTGTACACAATATTAATTTTGCCTTTGTTAAGTTTTCCCCCCCAAAAAAATAAATTTGAAGAAACCATGATAGATAAATAAAGAATAAATTATTAAAATTTTAACAATTATGTGTGTACAAGTTTTATCTGATTACTCTCTAGGGTAGTGGTAGCAAACCTATGGCACACATGTTTTCGTGTTTTTCTTTTGAGAAAAGGAGAAAAAAACAGAAAGTTTTTATAAATAAGGAGGGGCAGAGGGGTTGAAGGGAGGGGAGGGAAATGGGAGAAAAAGAAGGATCAAGATATATCACGTACAGGTACAAATTCCCTACAGTGAATGTGATTGTTATGTATATCTAAAATATACCAAAAAACATAATTCATTTTAAAAAGATGTCAATATATGAGTTGTTTTTTTCTAAACTAAAACTCAGTATCAGATTTAATTGCAGTGTTGGCACTCTGTGATAAACAAGTGGGTTTAGGGCTACAGTTAGGGCACTCGGTCTCTAAAATGCTCGCCATCACTGCTCTGGGGATCCTACTATGCTTTTCCCACTTTCACTCTCTCCACAGAAGAAGGCTTACGATTTTCTCTTTCCTTTCCATCATAAAGACCTTATATATTTGGTCTCTTTTCCCTTTCTTCCCTGACATATTAAATATTTGTACATTATAGCTAAAAATGTAAGTGTAAGACAGCTCTACCATAAAAACTATAAAAACCAAAACTGAAGAAATACTAAATAAATGGAAGAATAAACCATGTTTCTGAGCTCAGTGATTCAGTATTTAAACTGTTGTGAAATATCTCCCAAAATTTGCAGATTCCATTCCAGTTCCACCAAGACTTCAAAATTTCTATGAGGATATGGGAGTGGATATGCATCCACATACATGCAGGTGTTAACAAGTTAATTATAAAATTCATGATGAAACTAAAAGAATAAAGTTTATGTTTTATGCTGAGTAATATCACATCATAACTTTTTACAAATCTATACAATTAAAATCATATGGTTTGCACAGAAAATTAGACAAACTGAGGAATGGGGCACAATAGAGTCTAAAACATACAGACCACAATATGGACACTGAGTTTATAATAAACATAGGACGGACAGCAGCAGAGAAAAGATGGCTTCAGCCACGAAATGTGTCCAATTCATTGTATACTTATATACAGAAGATAAAGTTGTCTTTAGCTAACACTACAAACAAAATTTGATTTCAAATGAATTACATTTAAAGGCTAACAAAAAAAAAATAGAACTTCTACAGATAACATACAACAATATATTCAAGTTTTTGCAGAAAGTGATTATTTCTTAAAAGGAAAGCTTTGAAGCTTGTAAAGCTTTAAATGTAAAGAAGCTTGTAAAGCATTAAATGTAAAAAAAAAAAAAAACAGAAGACTGGGAGGAAATTCTGTTAAATGAAATATTAACAAGACAGTAAATATTGAAAAGAGGATTTACGTCCTGTACATCAAAGAAGCTTCCTAAAATTAATAACAAAAACAAGCAAGCCAATTTCAAAGTAAGGAAAAGTTTAGAACAGGTACTTCATAAGAAACTATTTTCAAAGTTGCATTAATTATATCTATATGTGTACATAATTAATTAGGAAAATCAATAGTTTTTGGTGTAGCTGTTATGCTTTTAATGGAGGGAGGTTTAAAATACATCAGTGCAAAAGAATGTTTTACATACTCATTAGCATACTGATTAATGTAAATCACATTTTGATGGTGTAAAATGTGTGTTAGATCTCAAAAATGAAACGACAAAATTTGCTGCAACTAAGATATGGGAAAGGCTCTGTAAGTTGTTTTTACCACCACCTTTATTATAATTCTCAGTGGTATCTGTAAGGATCACAAAGAGAGGCTCTTTTCAGCTGTGGCTCAAAGGATTGTAGAGAAGCTGTATGACAGTGTCACTGTGAGACTGATATTTCCCTCAAAGTATTTCCAGTAGCACAGGCAGTTAAGAGGCTTGATAGTTTCGAAGCCTGAAGGCAGCTAAGATCTCACAATTGTAAAACCCACTTGTCTCCTACAGAGAAACATTTAAAGGACTTTAAGGATATGGAGAAAACAACCAGTGGTTTCATCCATAAAGCTTCAGTAAGCACCCCAAGGCACAAGTGTTGAAACTGCCCATCCACTAAAATGCCACTGCATTGTACTTTTGGAGGTACAGGAATGCTGTGTTTGCATTTATAGGACACTGACCACCCCTAGTCAAAAGCACCAGGCGTTAAACTCAGGTTTCAATTACACAGGATGCACCAGAAATCCCTAAGGTGGTGAATAGTTCAAGTACTATATTTCTAGCTAGGGCTCTTTAGAGCCTGTAAGTGTGTAGAATATTGGAAAAGAGGCTGGGTTTGTGCAAACCTTAAAATGTTTTTGAAAGAGCAGAGTCCTCTAAGGGCTCACTGGTTAATTCAGTAACAGAGAAAGTGATAAAGGCAAAATTTGCATTTGATGAATTTCTTTCCAGTGAAGAAAAAAATAATGTAAGGTTGCCATGTAGGCTAAAATGTTTGGCAGTTAATGTCACACATAGCCAAGATTACTAATACACTATTTGGTAAGGAAAAAACACCACTATATTGGTAGGGTTAATTTTTGTGTGCAACAGGCTGTATCAGAATAATCATCTCAGTCCACTAACTCAAGAAAATCCACAACAAAAGAAGCATATCAAGGGCCATCAAAAGGCTCAGGAGTACCAAAATCAGATAAACTATAAAGATAGGCCATAAATCTTTAGGAATGGAAACATTAAAAATATTGATAATAACAATTGTTGACAAAAATATGGATTAACAAGAACCCTCACACTATGCTAGAAGGAATGTAATTTTCTACACTTTCACAAAAATCTGGCAGTATCTGGATTGACACAGCAATTTCATTCCCAACATATAACAAATAGAAATGCACATATATGTGCTCCAAAAAATTTTTGTGAAATAATGTTCACAGCAAAGTAATGATTTATAGCCAAAACCTGAACACAACTGAAGTACCTAAAAAAATTGACAATTCTTGGTATGTTTAAACAACTACAAGAATCAAAACAAGTCTCATAATACATGAATAAATTTGACATACATAATATAAAAAGAGTCAGACACAAAAGCATACATTCTGTGTTATTTAATTTATAAACTTATGTTTTGTTATATTATAGAAGAAATTTATAGGTGAAGGTAACCTGGAATGTTACAAGACAGGATATTAGTTACTTGTGATGTGGAAGGGGAGGGTGGTCTCTGGGATGAGATACAAGAAGATATCTGGTAATAATTTATATCAAGATTGGTGAAATATTGCCCATCCCACAGTCCAAATCTTACCTGTTACCTGATTTTTAAATAAAATTTCATTAGAACACAGTCATTCATTCAGTATTATCTATCGCTGTTTTCACACTGCAACATAAAAGTTGAGTAGATAAAACAGAGAACTGTATGGCCTGAAAAAACCCTGAAATATTTACCATCTGGGTTCTTACAAAAAGGAAAAAGCTTACTAAACTATATTCTATATCATTGGCTGAGTTACCGTTACATGTGATAATCATTCAGGAATACACTTAAGAAATGCATAATTTATTCACTGTAAATGATTGCTTTGCTATTAAAATTTTATTTATAATTCAATAAACCATTATGTGTTTTCCATAATGTACCCAAATGTGTCCCGGATATTTCAGATGATGCACAAAGAGAAAAAGTACAGTTTTGTCCTCAACAGCTTCAAATCCCTGTAAATAATCATGACAGATCACTTGGGAAGAAATAAATGTCACTCCGTATGTTAG